TGAATAGAATTATCTTTAAATAAAAATAATCTTATAATGGCTCGATAATAATAAACAATAAATAACAAGAAGGGGCTACAAGCCAGATCTTTATTTCAAATTCTTAGAATGTACGTTTCGTACCTTTTCAGACCTTATTATTAGGTTATCTTCAATGTATACATGTAGAGAATGCAAATTTAACAGAATTAATAAAACAATTAGATACAATTTCTACAGATTATAGTTATGCAAAGTGTTGGTAGTATTCCTTCATATTTATCTTCTGCCGCATTAATGTAATGCTTTCAGTCTTGTAATATTCTCAGTTATATTCTTCCATCATATCGGTCGCAATTAGTCCATAATGATAATAAAATTATTTAAACATGTTGAGTCATTCAATAAAAATCTATCAGCACATATTTTGTTATCAAATCAATATCACAGATTATAGAAATTTAAATAACAATAAATAAATGATCGTTATATTCAAAATTACAATTACATTTATATGCTAAAGGTAAAAAAACTTTCAGAGATAGATTTTATATATGGAACTGTAAAAAGAATTTCTCTTTAACTGGATATTATGTTTTATATTATTATTCTGTATGTAGTATTTTAATCTTTTTTCAATTGTTGAGAAAATGAAAGGAAGAGAATAGCTATTATTTAGAAAAATATTAATAGCGTCAACCAAGTTTTTTTCGTGGAAACGAGAATGAAACAATTTAACTAATTTATCAACGAAATCGAGTGTTATCTTTGTAAACTCTTAAATATGATATACTTAATTATTACTCTGTAGAAATTATATGTATTTTTACGTTAAAATAAAGAGCTCTCATGATTTGAAATTCAGGTGAATTATCCTTAATTGCGCAGGCATTTATAGTTAATTCTTACTGAGCATTATATATAAAATTCTCAGGCTTTTCAGTTACCTAAGCATCTTGGAATTGAACGGCTTTAAGATAATAACTTTCCCTGAGTCATCCATGAGCGTGAGATCTCTGGCTATTATTATTATGAAAAAGAATCGTTTTGATGATGATGATTCAAAAGGTAGCTGAAACGTACGATTCTGTTAAGTAAAGTTGAAATATATTGTACGTTTCAACTATCGCGCTATTTACTTTTATTAACCTTTTTCATTGAATATTTTGTTTTTAAATTTTGAAAGTTATAAAATATTATATTAAAAGAATGTAACCTAAAATGAAATAAATTTTGAAACAAATAAGATTGCTGTTAATTCTTCATCAACGTATCTGTTCAGAGGGAGAAGTTCTTTTTTTTATTTCTTATATACTTTATTTGTAATTATTATATACTTTATTATATAAATAATGAAAGGTGCTTTCCTGCAAAAGATGATACAGTTAACTATTTTACCTTTGTTTAACATTGGCAATCATCGCAAGGATGTGATAATTCACTGTCTTACACTGTATCATCTGTGTCTCTCACTGAAAAGCATTCTAAAATAGAAAAAATATTTGAAATATACTTCTCTCCTTAAAATGCTTTTTTTTAGATCGTCTGAAGTCGCGTTCGATTAAACTCGGAGATATTGCATTCGCGAAAGCGAACGCCACTTCAAGGGCTTTGCATAAAACGCCGCGAGCATACCAATCAAGCATTTGCTTCCCTCGCTGCTTTTTCTTCGTCGCGCGACTGCCGCGAATGTCATCATTTTGTATTTTCATGGTTTCCGGCCCGTCTCATCTCCAATCAAGCACCAGATGTACACACACACCACATACAAACACACATACACACATATATATATATACACACATATATATAATATATATATTATATTTATATACATTTATATATTTGGTTCCGGTTCACGATACGTGGCATGGAAGATTCATCTTCATGTTTGCGGCGATAAGAAAGACAGAGAGAGAAAGAGAAAGAGAGAGGGGGAGGGGAGGAAGAGAAAGAGATGCAAAACCCTATCGATACAAGTCGGCCTGCGGCCTCCTTCTAGAAATGTATCACGGATTTACGCGACCACTAACGTAGATACATCGCGGTCCGTGAAGCATGTTATTCTCCATTTCGAGCATTTCTATAGATATAGGTATGACTATAACGTGGCACAAATCGCCATTGCAATAATTCAGAGGGCCAGGATGCGACGCGACCTGACGCAAAATACAGAAAGCCGGTTTTCGAAAACGGTACGATCCGTTGACGGGTATCGCTGTTTTTGATGTCCGCCACGATTTAATTGAAATTTTAACTTTCGCTCGTCGAACAGGACGCCGGTGGTCGGATTCGAGCGGTATTTGCGTTTTCAGCTAAAGTGAAATATCGGATTCGCTATCGTGCGTGCGTGCGTGCGTGCGCGGAAATTTATCATGCGAGAAAACGCGTTACCGGCAGATTCTGGCTGATCAAGCAAACGAAGGACCATGCGTAAATCATTCCTTTGTGACTTTATGGCCGGACGTCACAAGTGAACTACGTATTCCTGTAAATCATAATAGCAAAAGCTTCGAATTAATGATACGTAGAGTTTTAGATAGAAACATCTGTGCATGATAAATGTACCAAATTTAAAGCCCCCATGGATAATATAGATACGAGTTACACGAGTAAATCTTACAGTTGGGCAAAATGAAAATTTGAAATACTCTAGCTTAAAGTGAATAACTTGCAGTAATCTTCTTATTATAATGCTACACACACACACACACACACACACACACACACACACACATTCCTCATGTCGCTTGAAATATTAGTTACGGAAGTGGCCGGAAAGCGCTCTCTTAGTAACAATGTACATTATTATCATAAATTATTATAGATTTCAATTTAGTTGTATTATATAACAATTCAAATTTTTTAATGATTTAATTAAGACCGTTCTATAAATACAATAATATAATAATTTTTTAATATATTCAGTAAATAATGAACAAAATTATTAAATTGATGTATGAGTATTTATATTGTATCTTATTTGTCTCTTCAACTGAAGAATTTAATTCGATCTGAACGGTCACGAAAATCTTCAAAGTTATACCCTCCATTATTCAGAAACAACAATAATTATTCCTTAAAATAATTAAAGGACATTATATTCAATAACCGTTCACCATCAATCTGCTATAGCTGCTTGATTTAGTTTCAGTATCATTCAAATATCTCTTTAGACGCAAAGAACTCAAGCTACTTCAATTTGCTCAACAGTTTCGAATTGTCGTCGCAAGAAATATTTCATTGAGCGAACAGACCATGGTCAAATGACACAAAATCAGAACTGCATGCCGAGTATCTCAATGCCATCTAGATTAATCGTATCAAGACTAAATCCGATAACTAACAGATTAGTGACGAATTGTTATTGAACATGATAGTCTTTATTTTGAGAAAATTGTTGTTTATGAATAAACAAATTTGTGTATAAAAATAGAAGAATGGTTCAGAATTTTTTTTTGACACTCTAGTATATAAAGGTCGATGTATTGCGCGTTCACAGGAATGGCACGTATCGTGGTAATCGGATTATCGGATCGCTACATCGACCAAGAGGGATGCTAGAGTGACGAAATTATTGATACAACTGTATAAAAATCTCCAAATTGACTAAACAGAATCCAAAATCCTCTTATGAGATTGAAGTAGATGCAAAATTAGAGGTGGGGCAGTTAATTTTACACTAAAATCGAAAAAAATTAAGAACTTACATTTTTTTAACTAATTTTTTTAAACTTATAAAACTGTCACTGGACGTTTCCTTAATACAAAAATTCTGTAGCTCGTATGAACAAAATGATATCGCACCACCCGTCGGATTATGTGAACGAACAATACTGAATTTATGAAATTAAGATTAAAAGAAAAAAAAGATTTATGTTTAACTTCAAATTATGTATATACATAAGCTTAGCGAAGACTCAGAATGGTAAACAGAGCAGTAACTCTGTCAGCAGTAAGAGTCGGATCTTGCAAGAGATGACGTTACAATATGTTAGATAAGGACAAATGATAGCATTTGAATGAGACAGAATAATAATATAAGAAATGAATTAAGCTATCATTATTATCGACATTTGTAAGTTGGAATTAAAAAAATCTATACTAATGACATCAACCAAGTTCAGCTGACACTTTATAGCATCCTTTTAACCACGAAGATAACATTATCTATAAGAATAGACGACGACAACAACAGACAATAGGTACACAAAAATAATCTGCACTCTGCAGTTGGAACTTAGTAGACGAACAATGTTGCGGAGTTTCGCGAAAGTTTTGAAGCGGTCAGGTTTCCTTTCCTCTTTAGATCCACGACGAATGAACGAACGTTTATCGTTGTGCGTCCTATAACGTCCACTTCTAGCTAGGACAAACTTATCTGGAAGTTTACGCGCTTGTACGGCGAACGAGGAAAAGTCGATTGCCGTGGACTCAGAAAAGCGGAGTAGGAGCAATGAAATGCTCCGAGTTACGATACACCATACAAGCTGCAACTCCTTCTGTTGTTCCTTGTGTTTTTCAATTTTCGCAATCGCACCTAGAGAACGTTATCGTGTCGTTGCGCTTGTACTCTAAACTTCAAGTCATTTTGAGAAAACAACTTCGCTTTTGTATTTACGCTCGAAAACATACCTACGTTGCTTTCTATCAATTCAAATTCTCCTATCCACAATTTATTTACAGGCAGTACAAATTTGTTTATATATATTGAAACAAATATACTATCTCGCTATTATAAACAATTTCTTTCGTTCTTAAATGTAAAAAATGCTATCGGATAATTGTAATATAAAATAAACTACTATTCTCTAACAACTATTCTTATAATTTTGATTATTAGCCTTCAATAAAAAAATAAACCTAAAATATTTATCATAATAATTTTGTGATGGAGAAATGTAGCGACTGATAAAAAATGAAAGAGCAATTTCGCTTCGTACAATCATGTTATTTTATTTAAAAATTAGTATATTAAAAATTTCAAAGCAAAAGGTAATGTTAAATACTATATAACAAACCTTTTGATCCTTCTGCCAAATGCACTGCCCTCTCTTTCCGAGGACTCGACACACCAGCTTCGCGTCCTGGCCAGGATTGACCTCGGTGTATTGTGGTGTTTCTTCAAACTGCTGGATGCCATGGCAAACTGCAAGCAATAATGTAGCTATAAATGAAATTTCACGCGTTACTATAAACGCTATCTATAATATGCAAATAGTTATTACATATATACGCTATGACGACACATTTCGCTGCTTTTCGAATTGCGTCGCTGTTAACTAATCTCTAGCGTTTATTTCGTAATCTCTAACGTTTAATTTATATTCTTTGCGAAAAAGGGGAGGTTTGCATTTTTTTCATTCAACACTTAAGTAGAGAGAGAGAGAGAGAGAGAGAGAGAGAGAGAGAGACAGATGGTAAAGGCAGGATATAAGCACGGTTTAGCCGGGCATTAAGGCAGCCTGCAACCTCGTTAAAGTTGTTATTTAATTCGCAACTTGGCAAACTCATTTAACTCGGTCCGTGCTAAGCTACGATCTTCAGTTTTCACCTTTTAAGTTTGCCGATAAATTGTATTTAGCGCTAATCGAATGACGGCAGATGGGACGGTACCGACTTCGATGCGACGATGCACGCAGGCTTGTATATACTCGCAGGCATTAATCGCGTCTCGTTAGTTGACGTTAATTATTTCTTCGTCGCTCCGAGTGTTCTCCGGATGAACTAAATTTAGCAGGTTTAATATCTAAATGTGATTAATCGTTTTAAATTACAAAGCCCTGAAATAATAATAAAGCTAATAAAAACTGATTATAATCCATCAATTTTCTTGTTCGAAAATCTTGATTATTTGGAATTTCCTTAAGATACAAAACATAAGATAAAATATTACATAAATAGCTCATTGGTAAAAGTCATTATCTCTACTTGACATTTTTTTGGCAAGAGCGAAGAAAATTTGTATAATTTTTCTCATTCAAGCAATCAATAATTTTTTTTAATAAAAAAATTCGTAGTTTTAATTAACGAAGTGTGTAATACGGTACAAGAAATTTAATTTATTATATTGAAGTAAAATGCACACTTGAATGGTTTTACAAGTGACGATAGGATTTAGTTAACTTTGGAATTAAAGTATACGTTATTTTTATTTTTATTTCATTTTTATAAATTAAATTTTATTAAAAAAATAATTTTATACAAAAATAAAATATAGTAAAAATGAGTAAACCTAGACTGGTACAGAGATTTAAGAACTTCTTTTGCACCTACTTTTCTCCTTTGATTTTAAAACTTATAATTATTTTGCACATTTTTAAAATGTCCAATTTGTAACCAAGAAGTTAAGAAATTTAAAAGTTTCATTATCTACTTTTTCATATTTTTGGACATATTTGTTTTTGCACACATATCAGCTATCAGATATCTTATTTAGTTCTGCCATTCATCGTAAAAAAAAATCCAAACAGATTCATTATACTTATAAACTCATATTAATTTATCATTTCGAAAAATAGTACAATAATACTTCGAATGTCTTTTATAATTACAAAAATTTGAAAAGGTAATTATTTCAAATTCGTATTAAAGAAAATTGTAAAAATTAATATTTTACATGAAGTAGTGTAGAAAATGTTAACAAAATATAATTTCGCGTAAAATTGTTGTATCGTTGGTAAAAATTAAATTGATAAATGGAGATTTATACATAATGTAAACAATTAGTAAAAAATAATTAATAAACATATCAATTTTATACTCGGTTGGCAAAATATGATACACGAACACAAATACATTGTCGCTTTATGTGGGGTATGTGAAAATTTCAGAATTGCAATGTACGCTTTTTGTCGGATTGCAGCGTTAAAAATTCAATTTTTCACCGGCGAGCAGATGATTAATAAAACGCGCTGCCGCGTCGTATGCGGCTCGCGGAAATAACTTTGCAAAATTAACAGTACGCGTATGGAGTTTGTGCGATTCGGGCACATTGCAAAAGTATTTGCAGATGTGAAAGAAAAACAGCATTTCCTAAATAATGCCCGATTTATGACATTCTCGTTTCTTACACAATAAATTCAACAAATTTAAAGTAGAAGTATGAATATCAAAATATATTTATAATATGTATGCATGTACATTAAAAAAATATATATACAGTGGTGTGCAAAAGTTTCCGGCCAGTGACATTCTAATTTATAAAAAAACTCTGATAAAATTTTAATAATTTTCAGGTGTTAGTACAAGATTTCGTTATCCACATCTTGCACTAACATCCAGTAATAATTAAAATTTTATCAGGCTTTTTTGCAGACTGTATATTGAAATACATTTTTGTGTTTACTTATTTGAAATTTGAAATTATTTTTACACAACATTAATTTAAATTTTAGCATTGCAATATAATTTGGCTGTTGAAAAAGAGTCGATAAAAATTTAAAAATTATTTTCTTCACCCTCGCTATAAAATTTAACATATCATATTTTTTTTTCCAAATTTGCTAATAATAAATTGTTAATTAATTGTTCCAAATGCCAGGTTAGCCATGAATTTCCTACGATTCGTACTACAATTTTAATTTCATGATAACGTCGAAAATAGAAGTTCTTCATCCAAGTTTAATTGCGAGCAGGCCGCACAATCGTCGCGATAGTGCCATGGGCTGTTATCGATAAAACGAAGCGGCAGAGCTGATAAAAGCGACATGGTCCGGAGAAAATACCGGCGAGAATAAGGCAAAACTCAAGGACTCCCGCAACAGGTCCCGTAAAGTAAATTCGAGGCTTGGCGCTTCGCACACGCTCCGTCTGTTAATTGTGTTTGTACGTTGAGGCGACAAGCTGTACTTTGCGCGCGCCGCGCAAATACACTTGGACCGAAATTGCAGTGCTTTCTATCTGCAATAATAATTACGACTGCAGTCTTGAGTAAAGTCAAATAGATACGGACAAATTACCGCGGCGTCGGAAAGAGGATTGGGAGAGGGGAATTGAAATTTCGTCCTGGTACGTCAAACGTCTATTATTTTTCGCTGGCACGACAGTGGTATTACAATACGCGCGATTTGATCGTGTCGGAAGAAGTTCGTACTAGAAAAAGAAATCACTGATAAGAGGTATTGTACTTTCAAGAATTCATTCCGACCTTAAATATAATGCGCGCAGATTTGATTAATTTTTAAATTAATCAGATTTTTCATTTGCAATAAAGTGACGTGCGTAAAAGGTATTAAAGCGCAGATATACTTTCACGGATAACAAAAGGAACGATAAAGCCACGCCTGAAAAAGATTTATCATAAATTCTTGCAACACGTCCGGTATAATATACTACAACTCCGAACAAGTAGCTAACTTTGCTCACGTTGCAGAATACATCTCATTTTTGCGGAAATAGAGCACGCCCGCTCATATCCGCGTGCGCGCGCGGTCTAATAAATTCATTTTTCAAAAATTAAGGTAGGCGGTGGAAACAGATGTAATATGACGTTAAAATAAAATGTATACTATGCACACCGAAAAATGCATTTTATTTTAACAACATACTTTTCATAATATCATTAATTCCATCTCCACATTTTACCAAAGCATTACTTGCGTGCTTTTAATGCTAACAGTTAGCGGAACATAACAATGCGAACTGTTTGTTTTGTTTTGTTTTTTTTTTTTACTTATTTTTAATTGATAATTGTCGTTCACCTTTTTCTTGACTTTTATAAAAGTTTATGAAGACCGATATACGTTCTCTACAAACTTCAGAGAACTGAAAAAAAAAAAAGGGAAACGTGATCGTTTGATGTATCATCGTAGCACGTGTTTGCGTATAGTTCCAAGGTATTTCCACCGATTTAACAGAGATTCCCTAATTCGGCTGACTTTTGAAGCGGCTTGGCACGAACGCAAACCAGCGGTGACCGCCCACCGCGCACTCGATTCGTTAATTTCGTTTGCAATTCCGGGTCGGCCTCGCGCGACCCCGATCGTCGACCCTCAAACGCGCTGTGCCGAGGGAATGGAAAAAAAGTTTCGGTGGCGCCGCAAATTTGCTTTGCTCGCACGACTGATATTCGAGAACGCGAGAGAGAGAGAGAGAGAGAGAGAGAGAAACAGCCATCAGACCGACCGACGCCGAAGAATCTAAAAAAACATGGACTGCTCTTTCCTGTCTTCTCTGCGTTATCAGCGTTATTTACTTCGGCGCTAACCACGTTTCGCTAAATAAATAAATCCTAATAGACAAACGAGTCTCGGCGTAAATGAATTCTGATAAATCTTCAGCGACACTTAATTAAAACCGTATTAAATAAGCACGGACGAATTAAAATCATATTAATTAAATAACGACCGATCATTCTCATGTACATCTCCGGTGCTATTTTATTACGCGGGCACGTTCGAATACGTTGGAATATCAGAGATCCGGAAAATTATAATAACACGGGGAGAGACAATCCGCGGAACTCGATATTCTCGTTCTCATTATTATTAGACATCAAAATTAATCCGATACGAAGACGAAAGGAAGCCAGAATAAAGGGCAGCATATATATCGATGGAAGCTCGTCTGTTTCATTTCACCACCTTCGCGGGTGTACGATTACACTTCGCTAGAGTTACGCGAACGCGATTAATTAAGCGACTTAAATTACATCGCGTGCGCAGCGCGAACGTATACGCGGTATCTGATGCGGAGAGTTGTGAATTTTTTTGTTTTGTTTTTAATACAAACGATGTCGGTTAACCGGTCAATTACATGATCGTGCCACGTGAAAACCTCGTGGAAAATGCAACGCGCGGAAATGCGAACAGTTATTGTTGTATTGCCCGCCAACCAACGTGTTGACGGTGCTAAAGTAATCGCGATATACGTACGTATACGTATATTGAAAAATACTTTCGGAAACACGCCTACGGTTCCGTATCGATTGTTTAGTATCGTTTCGTGCAATATTGACGTTTAATCAAGATAAAGTTTATTGCCGTTACGGCGCAGTTATACGCGCAGGCCGCAGTATTTAAATGCGAGCGGAACGTCAAGGATGAAACGGGCTGTCGAATACTAGATAATACCCGTGGCGCGTATCGGACAACGACTGAGCGACATAAATAATACGTTGGAAATTTCCGTGAAAATCATGTTCGCGGA